CCGTTCCAGCTTCATGCGCTCTATGGAGGGGGCATTGGGGAAATGGTTTAGGTGGTGGATCCCGGCCGCTCCTGTAGGAGACCTGGATGGAGCTTTTGGCTCCTGCCTCTGGTCTGGTTCAGCTCCAGCTGTTTCAGGCATCTGGGGAGTGAGCCAGCAGGTGAGATCTCTGTTAGTTAATCTCTTGAAGTAGCAGATACATACTTTTTTTTTTTTAAAGATTCATTTATTTATTGGAAAGTCAGATATACAGAGAGGAGGAGAGACAGAGATGAAGATCTTCTGTCCGACGATTCACTCCTCAAGTGAACGCAACGGTGATGCTGTGCCGATCCGAAGCCAGGAGCAGAGCCTGGATCTTCTTCTGGGTGTCCCACACGAGTGCAGGGTCCCAAGGCTTTCGGCTGTCCTCAACTGCTTTCCCAGGCCACAAGCAGGGAGCTGGATGGGAAGTGGAGTAGCCTGAATTTCTTTAAAAATAAATTGTAGGTGGAAGTTGGAAGCACCCAGTTGTGGTGTACCTGATTTTGGGGTGTGGTGCGCATTGTTGCCTGCTGAGGCTCCACACTAAACAGCGGGGTGTGTGTGGAGACGACTCTGTATAAACATGGTGCCCCATGTAGGGGCTGCCCTCTGAAATACCTGTAATATCCAGTAGGATGTTAGAACTGTATACGCAGCTGAAATATTAGGTTGCTTGGGGGAGACTGACCTGATGAAAGTCATGTCTGTTCAGTACAAATGCAAGCGTGGCTTCCTCTGGGGTTGGCCAATGTCTGGTCGTTCAACCTGCGAATATAGACAGCTGATGTGTTCCATGAGGACTTGACTTGTTAGTGAGCAGTGGATTGAGGCCTGCTCCTCCTAGCAGTGGCAGTTTCGTAGTAGTGGCAATTTCGTTCTTTTGAATAGTTGCAGAGTGTCCCACCCATGGATGTGTTACAATTTGTTTATAAACTAAGAATGATGTATAGCCAAATGCCCCTTGACTTTACCGAAGGTCAAGTGCTGAAAAAACCACTCTAAGCCGAAGGTGCTTTGACCCCACCCAGCCTGCCCAATACCCTGGCTTAGCCTCTCCTGCTTTACGCATGCCCGGAACACTTCCGTAAGTGCACAGTCGGGCACAGTCATCCAACACGAAGCCTGTTTTACAGGAAGGTGGTGAAAGCTTCTGTCTTCCCACGGGCCTGGCCTCACAGCACAGTGCAGGGCGTGAGGTGTTTCCCTAGGAATTCAGGGGCTCACTGAGCTGTGCTTGCTGGTGCCACCCAGAGAGAGGGAGGTGTTGGTTGTACAGCTCTGGCCTGGGAAGATTCCAAGCACCATGTCCCAAAGTCACGGGTGAGTGTCTCATGCAGTAGTGTGAACTTGTTTAAGATATTGCTTATTTATTTGGAAGTCAGAGGGAGAGATCTTCCATCCACTGGTTCAGTCCCCAAATGGCCACAGAGGCCAGGGATGAACCAGATTAGAACCAGGAACTTCATCCGTGTCTCTCATGTGGGTAGCAGGGGGCCCAGCTACTTGCCACTTTCTTTGGCCTTCCCAGATCATTAGCAGGGAGCTGGATCGGAAGTGGAGCAGCCAGGACACAAACTGGTGTCCATATTGGATCGTGACTTTGCCGCTGGCGGCCTTACTTGCTGTGCCATAGTGATGGCCTGTCGCTCTGTTTTGCATTCCAGTTTCCTGCTGATGTGTACCTTGGGAAGCAACAATTATTCAAGTACTTGGTTTCTCTGATATGGGAAACTTGGATTGAGGTCCTGGCTGTAACCTAGCCCAGCTCCAGCTGTGGTGGGCATTTAGGGAGGAGGGAACCAATAGGTAGAAGGTATCTTTCTGCTGTGTCTGTTTGTCTTCCCGTCACCCCGAAGTCCAGACACTCAGGGACCATCTGTATATTCTCTCTTGTTGCTGGACTGTCTGTGGAGTACTTCTCCTATGTTGCCTGGTGCCCACATGTCTTGCCTATGTGGAGTGTGTCCTGGTGGGGAGCTCCTGGGCTGGAGGGTCTATGTCTCTGTAGGTGCTGCGCCCTACTGGGTAACTGGAGCCAGGAGTCTTCCCCCATCTGAGCAGTGTGAAGTGGGTATGTGCTGGGCTGCTGATTAAACTGAGGGTCTCACTGGCCCTCTGCCCCTGCACCTCCTTACCTGCTTTGTTGAACAGCAGGAGCTCCTGGCACCCTCCCCACCCCCCAGCCATGGCTATCCTGGCACCCTCCCCATCCCCCAGCCACTGCTATCCTGGTACCCTCCTCATCCGCCAGCCGTGGCTGTGCTGGCCTGAATGGTGTTTCCAAGCCCTGCTGGCCCCAGAGCCTGGGGATGCCAGGGGTCAGGTATGCTAGCAGCCAGTTTATCTTCTGTGTCTCACTGGAAATAGCTGTAGCTCATTCTGTGTCACAGGTGCTAAGCATCCTGGTTCTTGCTGGGCATTCTTTGGCACCACGTGCTCTTTTAAGCCCTTCACACGGTTCCTCTCAGATCCCAAGAGCAGCCACGTTATTACACCTCGTTCTAGGTGAGGAAGCAGAGGCCTAGTCCCTGCCCCAGGAAGCCACCACATGGAGAAGGCTGGGCTGGAGGCCGGGTGGTTCTGCCTGCAGAGCCCTGTTCCTATGTGTGTCTACTCCAGGTGCTAAGGAACACCTGGTTGCTGCCGAGGGCGCCTGCTCCGGAACCGAGGCCCGATTTGCGGTCAGCAGCCTGCAGTGCCTGCTTAGACCTGGGCTGCTGGGGCTGCTGGGAGAGGGTGCGGCCAGGCTTCTCCTGGAGGGAGAACACAGCAGCCGTGCTCTCGGTGCTCATGAGTTGCAGTGCAGCATGCCGAGGTGGCCGGGGCACAGGCGCCACTCCAGGGTGAGTGATTCAGAGGCAGGATGTATGTATTTTGCATTCTGTGACCGGGCCGAGGACTAAGTATAACCTGTGGGGTTTTGTGTGGAGGAAGAAGAACTGGTCTGGGTGAAGGGGGATGAGGATAGGGTGGCGCTGAGGGCCTGGGCAGGTCACGGAGCCCGGAAGTGCACAGGGGGTCACTGGGATTGCCGCAAGCCACCTGCTTCAGGCTGATAAGGAGGAGGGAGGTGGGTGGGTGCTGGGCTTGAAGCCTGGACCTCCAGGCAGATGGTTTGAGGCTGTGGAGAGTTAGAGCGCACACAGGAGGCTGTGTCAGGAAGTTGTGGGGAACGGAATAAGAAGGTCAGTTAATTTGAGTGTGAGAAATTTTGAAAGCCATGCTTCCGAGTGGTTTTGTGAAAGTTTATGAAAAAAAATGAGCCTTATGAAGAAGCTGTGTGTGGGGGCTTAGAAAACCTTCCACATCCACATAAGCTTACCTTTGCATTCCATTGAAGTCCCTTGTGCACACAGACCCGCTGTCCTCACATCTCACCACCAACTGAATACTCTGGCCCGGCTGTGTTTGTAAAGCGACAGAAGCTTATTAAGGCTCCAGAAAGGAGAGGTTTCCCAGTCCTGGGCGCCCCCCACTCTTTTGCCACCTCCTGATTGGTGCCTACCCATGCAGATGGTCCACAGTGGGTTTCCAGTAGGCACTCAAGCACCTGCTGTCTCCTTCACCACTGCCCGTGCCACCCGGTCAGTCAGCCTGGAGCTTCTGCAAGTATCCGTGCTGCTGGGGGAGTTGCCCTCCGGCCACTGGGCATTTCCCTGAGTTCTTGCTCGTCTTTTCCGTTGCTGCTCCCGTGAACATACTGGGCTTATGTGCAGGGCCCTAGCTAAGGAAGACTTGGAGTCCAACCCTGGAGGCCATCTGATGGGGGATGGCTCCCCATAGATCCCTGCAAACTTGAACAGAAGAGTGAGAGGACGTGGAGGGCACAGAGGGGCCGGGGAACTGCACATGGTGGGCCTGGATGACTGGGCCCTGTCTCACTCCCCAGCGCCGTGCAGGGCACCTGTAGGCCGAGAACTGTAGAGTGAGAGGGAGGCCTGGTGGAAAGGATGGGGCATCAGCTGTGTTTCCAGGGGCAGCTGTTCCTTCCCAGCTGGCGTCAAATAAGTGGTCTGTGGACACAGGAAGCAAAAGGAGCATGGGAAAGAGTCTGTTTTTTTCTTGCAAAGATTTATCAGCTTATTTGAAAGATGAACAGAAATCTTCTATCCGTTGATTCACTCTCCAAATGACAACAGCCAGGATTGGGCCAGGCCACAGCTAGGAGCCCAGAACTCCATCCGGAACTCACATGGCTGACAGGCTGGCCCCGGGCCGGAGCACCTGGGCCGACTTCAGTTGCCTTCCCAGATGCGTGGGCAGGAGGTGGGCTCAGAAATGAAGCAGTTGAGGTTAAACTAGTGCTCATATGGGAGGTGGGTGTCAGAGGTGGTGGCCTGACCCCCTGTGCCACGTCTGAGTCTTGGTAAGCTGTGGATTGCTTGCAGTGGTTGGCGGTGTTGCTGTCACCATCCCCGTGGGCCGACTCGGCCAGCTTGGTTCTTTCCGTCTGACTGTAATCACTGGGCTCTGTCTTGCGCTGGCACTGGGGACGCAGCACGCCCTAGGGGGACGTTTTTCTGTTTGACTTCAGATTCCCAGATGATAAGCATTTATTTGGTGTCTGTGATGCTGTGTGTGTCTGGTTTTTCCTTGCCTGCCCGGTGAAGGTGAATCATCGAGGGGCTCATAAACCTGACACTGTGACAATTACACGATTACTTCTGATGCATGCAGCCTGAAGGGCTCCATGTGGGAGGAAGTGGCTGTGATCTGGGCGGGCTTGGGAACAGCTATGGCCCAGGCGCCGGGCTGGGCTGCAAGTCCCCTCTGCTGGCCCTGAGTGGGCACATGGCCACATCCTATTGTGGCCACCTGCATGTCCCAGCCAAGGTGCACTCATGGGCCGAGGGTTCACCTGCCCGGCGACAGGAGGTTAAGAAGACAGCAAGACTGTGAGCGCCTTGTTGGAAGTGATAATACATTTATGAGGAAGGAGCTTGCCAGCTTACTCTCCTGTTCCCTGTTAATTTCAGAACCAGGATTTCTCAAGCCTCTGCTGTAGAAGCGGCTGAAAAGGTGCCAGTGGTGCAAGAGCCAGGTAAGCGCTTGTGTTCCCCGTTAGCAAAGCTGAGACTGTAGAAGCTTCCATCAAAGACCGCTGGGCACTTTGTGTCTGTGCATTCCGAGGAAGGAGTCACAGGCTTGGCTGTGTTCCCTGGGGTCTATGGGAGGTATGGGAGGTGGGGAACGGGGCTGGGGGACATGCACTAGGGCCCTGGGATGGTCTGCATTTCTCTCCCTCTCCATCTTTGTCCCTCTCCATCTGTCTCTCTTGCTCTCCCATCTCTCCCAGCTTTGCTTCCATGCTGGGACCTGGCTTGTGGACAGTTCTGTGTACACACACCGAGAGTTCACTTCCTCTCTTTGGGGTAGGGGTGGGCAGTGCAGAGATGTAGCTGGCGAGGTGTGGAGTACAGAAAGGGCTGTCAGTGTCACCGTGCCCGCGATTTGGACCACGTGGTGACTGCTCTGTACCCAGCCCGTTCTGAGCCATGCCTGTTCAGGAGAGGGGACAAGAATTGCCTGTTGAAGGTTTGGGCCCAGAAAGGAAGCTTTGCTTCAACCTGGGACTTCTGTGGCTCGCGTAGGGCGAGCAGTGTTCACAGCTGCCTGGTTGACCCTGTCGGCTCTTAGGAAGGGCAGTGCCAGCAATTTTACCACCCACAATACCCTCTGTGAAGTGAGGGCACCCATTTTGCCAGCTTGTGGGGCAGCTTCATGCACACAATTCATTTCTAGGCAGCCTGAGTGCTTGCCTGTGCAGCTGGCTGTATTGATGCTTTTCATGAATTACCTGCTCTGCTGGGGTAGGGGGCAGAGGTCCTAGGGGACTCTCCTTTTTGCTGGTTTGTGGAATTATTTTATGAGGAATTCCAAGTGCTGGCAGTTGTATTGTAAGAATTTGTTTTTTCCTAGTCCGCCTCCCATCGCCCAGCCAGGTAATTTTTTTCTTTGAGTTTTGTTTGTTAAACTTCTTTGTGTAAAAGACTCTCTTTTGAAACTTTGGACATAAGGAACATGAGAACAGGGTGGTTTAAGCCATGCTGTACTGTAGCCGGAAGTCTCAAGTGTCCCTGAGAGCTCCGGGGAACTGGCTCCTCTTGCCAGTGATATGGTGAGGACCATGAAGTGTAAGCAGGGACGAGAAGCCACTTCTCATTTTTGAGGGCAGGTGCAAAAGGGTCCCAGAAGTGGCACGAGGTAGTGTCCTCGGCCAGGAGGCGGACAGCATGCAGGAAACAGCAGCCAGCATGGCCCCACACCTTTCTGTCCTGGGTATGAGTTTGGGGGTGCTTGCATATGCATAGCTTGGAAGAGCTGGAGTTCTTTAGTGAGCTGGATTTATTTTTACAAAAGTAATACAAAGTGCAATTCGTTGTTGGCTAAACAAACACAAAGCGTGAGCTTCCTGGCCGTGTTCTCTGCTCCCCAGGGTGCATGTCCGTGTGCATGTCTCATATCAATGTGTGTATCCGTGCTGCTGTCCGTGTGCCATGTCTCACACACACTGTGCGGCTGTACCTTGTGGGCAGCCCTGCCTCTGCCGTTGGCTGGCAGGGGATGTGTGGTGTGCTCACAGGTGGTCTGTTCCACCTGCCACAGCCTGCCTTCACCAGCTGTCATTCGGCCCCTAAGTGAGGGACGCCCCTTGGGTTGGGATTTCTGCTGTCCCAGAGCTGCCGTGCTGTTCTCACCCCTATGCATACGAGGTCTGTCCCAGGGAGTCAAATCCAAGAGCTCTTGGGGACAGGAGCATGTGTGACACTGGCATTGTCAGACTCACCCTTAGAAATCCCTGATCCCTCAGGCTGCTGCTGCACACTGACTGGCAGCAGTCTTTAAATTTTCTCTCTGCCTGTGGCCCGTCAATAAGCATTATATTTTGCATTTATCTAGCGAGGTTAAGTGCCCTTGAAGTTAATTTGGAATACAGGAGCGTTTTATAAGCCATAGGGAAGATTAAGGATGCAAATAATTTCCCATCCAAGCAGGGTGTAATGTATCAATGCATTGTCTTCTCTGGTGCTTTGCACATCTTTGCTGGGTAGATATTGGGGGGTATAGCTCTCCCTTGCCGTGCTCCACTCTCCTGGGTGAGCAGCGTCCTCTGGATCCATTCTCCTGGGCCAGTGGGCGTCCTCTAGACAGCTTGGGTATGTTGGTGCTGAGCTGCCCAGGAGCAGTCAGCAGCAGCTCAGGCTGCCATGACAGAATGTTGTCCCCTGGGGTCTGCAAGTGCCCTGTGAGCCGCAGCTGTGCAGGCTGACAAGTCCAAAGGCAAAGTGCTGGCGGGGTCAGTGTCTAGGAGGTGATGTGAGGGGGCTGTCCCTTTGTTGGCATCCTCTTGATGGAGGTGACCGGGAGCACAACCCCCTCTCGGATCTTTAAGGACATGAAACCAAGAATGAGTTCAGAACTGGGCTGCCTAATCACCTCTCCGGGACCCCATTTCTGCCACTTGGCAGGCTAGGGTCTCAGCAAATGAATTTAAGTGTGTGTGTGTGTGTGTGTGTGTGTGTGTGTGCACCTAAGAGGCTGGCCAGCCATGACCCAGCACAAACCTTGCGCTGGTCCTAGGAGCCAGCATCCCTCCAGCTGGCAGCTGGAGGCTGCCAGCTATCCTGGGAAGCGGCCACAGGGAAGCAGGAGGCCCAGGGAAGATGGTGATTCTGTTTATCCAAATGCTAAACCCGTCCGGGCCTGAGGACATGCTACACACATATATTCAGTGCACCGTGCACCTGCCTGTGTGCTTCGTGGCATGTCCCCTGTGGTCCCTGCTCACTGGTTTGCATGTCCATCATTCTGCTGCTGTCTGTGCCCCTCCCTGAGTTGCCACCTGCACGTGTCCCAGCGTTTGCTCAGTTTGTGTGGCGTGAAGGAGGAGGAAGGGCTGCTCTAGGCTGCCTGGAGCTTGCTGCCCCTACATTGCATCCCGAGCCTGCACTGCTGCCCTGCAGGAAAGCTGAGGTGTGAACCATGAACAGTAAGTTAGGGCCAGGTTCCTGATGGGACAAGGCCATTTTTCTCGGTGCTTTCTGCTCCCAGCTCAGAGGGAGGCTCGGAAAGGAAGGGCATGGCCTCTGTTGTGCTGGTGACAGGACCTCACCCGCCCTGTGTGGGCAGAGCCACTAGATACGAAATGAACCAGCAGGTTCCCCAAGCCTTTGTTGTCTGCAGCGAGGTCAGCAGCTGGGTCATCCTGCTCCAGCTCACCCATGACCTTTTCACAGGGATCTGAAGTGCCAGCAGGAGTAGGGGGTGTCCAGGATCAGATTCGCATCCAGCAGCTGGAGGGGGTTGCTGAGAACTTGTGTGGCCGGTAGCTGGTGCAATGAGCCCTCCGTGTTCTGTCCAGCTGCAGGTGTCTGATCCCAGCGAGGAACAGAGGGACAGCTGAGTGGACGGTTCCCAGGCAGCAGTGTGGTCCCCACTTCCTGCCCGACGGGGCCCCAGAGATGTAAAGGAGTGCAACAGTGTGACACGTGTGCCTGCATACATGTAACCACACACATGTGGATTCGGCGACACTCACACATGTATGGCAACACGCATGTTCATGCATGCGTGGCTGCATATGTACGATCATACAGAGGTATGCATGTGTCTGCACACGTGTGGCCTGATGCATATACATGCATATGCATGCGGCTTTGTGATCCAGCCCTCACCCTGACTGGTTGCCGGGGACCCCATCTCCTCTGCTGCACCTGCCGTGATGTTCAGCCTCCAAGCCCCATCTCATGACAGCTGGGGCACCTCTGTTGACGGTCCTGACAGGCGTGAGTGAAGGGCTTAGAGCCCCCTGCATGCCATTCTCCTGGCTCTTGGAGTTGGTGCACGCCTCATGAGCGGCGCAATTACCATGAGTAATGGCAGTGACTTCCATAACCCCGGCTCTCTAATGGACGCTGGTGATGCTCAGTCTTTCTCCACATGAAGGGAAATGGCGCAGTCAGGCTCAGCTCCCAGCAGGAAACCTTGACTTCTCAGAAACACAAAGAGAGCCAGCCAAGAGAGCATTTCATCCTGTTGTCTCCATTTCAGTAGAAACATGACAGGCTGTGATCGGTGCCTGGGGGACCGCTGGTCCTCAGAGAAGGCAGTGCATCTGGGTGGGTTCCCTGCATGCTTCACTTAAGGCAGTCTTTGATTTACATGGGGCAATGCGTGCCTGTTGGAGAGGGGGCAGCAGGTCACACCCTTCCAGTGCAGGGAGCAGAAACCCACCGCAGCTGGGACCTGCCCTGGCTTCTGGCTCTTCCAGCCAGTTGTCTTAAAGGCTATTGGGGATGCAAGGCAGGGTCTGGTCTTGGCCATCAGCATCCGGTGCCTGCTGCTGAGATTGGCATGTTCAGTCCCGAATAAAACCCATGCCAGGAAACCCTCTTTTTTGACTGTGGTCATTGAGCAGGGTCTGGGTGCCAGGAGGGAGCCATCAGCCTGGCTGAGCCCCCCTCTCTGATGCCCCTAAGTGGCAGCATCTGGGCTGGTCCCAGGGCAAAACGATGCCCTCTAGGCCACTTACATGAACATGGTAATGCCTGGTGGCCCTATCTGGGCCCCCCAGGAGGAGTGGTTGGCAGGCTTCCCCTTGGTGGTCTGTGGAGACTCGCTAGGAGTGCCCCTTGGGCCGGCCCTGCTATGGGAATGAGGGGCCAAGATCATTTCCAATCAGGTCATCGTGTACCCTGTGTGTAAAGCAGCACAGCTGCAGGCAGGGGAGGCAGCTGGCCATGTGGAAGTGGCCCTGGAGCAGGTCACTGTGGGGGAAGAAGGTTCTAGAAGAAGGAACAGCAGGTACAATGGCTATGATGCAGTCTGAGGGCTCCATGCTTGGGAGGAGAGGGGGAAGCAGAAGGCCGGGTCACCCCAGGAAGGAGCTGGCACTTTATCTAAGTCCCACACTGTTGGTCAGCGCACCCCGCTGCTTGGTGAACAGCCCAAACATGGCTGCTCCAGGGAGCCAGGCTCTGCAAAGCCTAACCCAACGCTTCCCTGTCCTTTAAGCCCACTTGCAGTGGGTCTTGTGCACGA